TGGAGGCTGATTCGTAGAGATATCGGGGGTTTGAAGGGATATCTGAGATATCTCTTAATTCGGAAGTATGTATTAAGGAATTTTTAGTGGGTATCTGAGTTGTAAGGTAGAAGGATTCAATATATAAATCATGTTCTTTTAATCTTTTGATATCCCTTTTGCTCCCAAATCCCCTGATATCCTCCAAACGCTCTGAGAAATCTGGTAGCAAGGAAAAAGAGTAAGAAAAAATGGTGATGAAAATTTTGAAATATTAAAAGACAATTTAAGGTAATTAAAAGAATATTAAATAAGTCTGGAAGTGAAATCAGTGTTTTAGAAAATAATGAGCAAATAAATTATAGTATAGGAATGAAATCCAAAGTTTCGCCAAAAGAAAAAATAAAAATTTACAAAGAAGAATTGAAAAACAATTATTGGACATTAATTAATTTAAATGCATATAAAATTGAATTATTGGAAAAAAATATTAAAATAACGGAGAATGAAAATGAAAAAATGGAAATTAAAAAACAAATTGATAATTTGAAGGAAGAGATAAGATTGGAAGGTAATTTGAATGTTGTGTGATTTATAGAGGGTTTTTGGCTGGACCGATTTGGTCGTGAGTTGCAAACGAAAGAGTCGAACGTCCGGGGGAAGAAGTGAGTCCGACTCTCAAGTACCAAGTCGAATGGCCAGGGTTATTCTTTAAAATTATGTTGGGCACAGGTTGGAAGCTGTCTAGGCAATACGCCCAGTTTAATTATAGTGAGATTATGCTTTAAAAATTTAGTCTAAATAAATTTAAAAATTTATAGGTGGAGAGCTGATTGAATTAACAAAATACGTATGTTTATCAATTAGAATACCTATCTATGTACTATGCGTTTATCGGCCCGCATGTCCGCAAATGTTTGTCCGCTAATTTTGTCTTTTTCGTTCACACCTTTTCTGCCCTTTCTCATAAGGATTAAAAATTGTTATCATCCTACATTTCCTTTTCTTCTCTTTTCTCATAAATATGTATAAAAAATGGTAAAAAGCAAAATATGGTCAGAAAAATATTGGTTTATAGAAAAATAAAAAGTAAAAATAAGACAACTTAAAATTATTTCGGAGGCCATATTTCTGCGATCTTTTTAGAAATTCATTCAAAAAATTTTCCTTTTTAGCTTCTTGCCTACACATAAATTCTGCTAAATAGCTCTCCAAATGATGTCGCGCCGTTCCTCGATGTTTTTTATTTCTCCATTTGGCAGTACCCCAAAGACGCTCAATTTTTGTGTATTAGCTCCAGTCTTTGGATCGACAAAATTGTATCGGTGATTTATAGTAAAATTTGAAAAACCAGCTTCTTCAAGTTCTTCATGTTTGTACCCTTTCTAACTGTCTGAAATAATAGTACTCTCAGGACTTTTGTGTTTCCCAATCTCTGCCATTAGAATTTAGGCAGAGCGGTCATGAACCTAAGATAATAACAGATAAACAAATGTAACAGAAACAATTAACCTTAACTAGGAAACATTCATTGTACTCACGGCACAGGCAGCCAAAACCCATTGCTGTGGTAAGATCCAACCCATGTTGTTTTTACGCCGTGTAAATAGACTTTCATCTATCTCAACAATCATGTCTTCACCTCCTAAGAAAATAATAGCAATTATAAACATTATGGTAAATACCGATGAATTTATGTGGTTTAGAAGGTAGGTGATCAATACAAATACATCTGAGGTAATTATTCCAATCAACTGTAGCATGAGGGTCTATATCCAATTCGCGCTCACAAAATTTACCGGAAGTATATTCGACTGTAGAAATTGAACTGCTTCTTCTTCAGTTCACGGAAGACTTAAAAAATTCATTTTACCTAAATAATTTCAAAAATAAGTTTAAGAAATGACGCTTTTTCAGATTTAGTGCCTTTTTAAATTAATTTAATCCATGACCGTATTTTGCTTTGACCAATTTTTTTATATTTATGAGAAAAGAGAAGAAAATGAAAATGTAGGATGAGTAGAAAAAAGACAAAACTGGCGGACAAACATTTACGTCATGCGGTCGATAAACGCATAGTACCCTATTTATTTTAAATTAAAAGAAATTTTAGGAGATTAAATTAGATAAATTAATTTTTGGAATCCCACATACTAACTATGATATTACTGAATTATCTAAAGAATTTGAACTTAGAGAAGTGCAAATACGTGTATGTTTTTGTTAAAAATTGATAGAATAAATTTTCAAAATAATTTTTAGAGAATTATCAAGGTATGTACATAATCAACTAAATATCAAGGATCTATCCAAAAGAATCCCGATTTTGGGGAAAAAACGTCTGGAATTCCCGATTTTCAGGGATCGGGTCGGCTATATCCCTTCTACATACAATTTCCAGTTCTTCGTGGAACTGGAAATTCGAACCGTGGGGACGTGGAACGGGGGCTCTGAGGGAGAACTCCCCCCGTCACCGGGGAATTCCCTTCACTGCGGACGGGTTTCATATTATCAATATTCCTCTGTATCCGTTATCTTTTTTTAAACAAAAGGACAGGAGATATATATACAAGAGAAATGGCATAAAATTTAAAACTATCAAAACAACGTTTAATAAAATAAAAGAAATAAATCCAGCAAGAAATGCAGGTTGTAGATTTAACTACAATCTAACTCCGTTATCCTCGTAACCTAGGTTTAGATACTGTATCTAGATATCAGTTCGATCAAGCTACCCCATATATTACTAATTAAATATACCTAAATTACATACTTTCAAAGTATTTGATGCTTATTTGAGTGAAAAAGTAGTAACTTTGACAGGAGTAGAATTAAAAATACTCACAAACCCGGGCAGGTATTGGCTAGGCTTTCAGCTCAAATATCTACAGTGTAATATTAATGAATCTTGGGAAATCTGGGATATCCTGATAAAGTAAAAAAAATTGCGAAACAAGGATTTTAATGTTAATTTAGGTAAGCAGGCAGGCATCGAAAACCGGGCAGCATTGGCTAGGCTTTCAGCTCACAGCTCTCTACCACGTAAGACTAGCGAATCTTGGAAATCTCGGATATCCGGACTGCGGCGCAGAAAAGTTTTGTAACACAGTGTACATACATAAATAAATTTCAGTTAAAATGTTTGAAGTTTATTTGAATGAAAAAACAGTAATTTTGACTGGAGTAGAATTAAAAAAAATTTCAAAATATAAATTCGATGGAAAAGATCATAGTTTTGTAAAAGAAAAATATTTTCTTGATTTCAACTCAAATAAATTTTATTTTAATAAGAATGTTGTTAAATTTAGAAAAATAATAGTAAGAAAGAATAATGGAAAAAGATTTGTAAGTATTGAAATTAATTATTTGGAAGATATTAAATTATGTAAATTAACACATAAAATTGAGATTGAGGAAGAAGAGTTTATTAAAATGATTGAAGAAGATGATAATGATTTTGAAGTTAAATTGGAAGAAGTTGAAGAGTAGTGATAGAAAATTATTTAAAAATTTATTTAAATTCTCTAGGGTTAGGATTTTTAGGCACTAAAAAGTTAAAAATAGGCGCAAATATAGGCTCTAAAAATAGCCAAAATAGGCATTAAAACAGAAAAAAAAGCAAAATTTGCTGGGATAATAGACTAAAATTTGTCAAGAAAGTCTCAAAAAATGCACAAATATGTATAAATTTTAGCAAAATAGGTTAAAAAAAAGGCATAATAGGGCATTTTTCAGAAAAAGTTATGAGATTTGAGCAACGATAAAAATATTAGTTTGAAAGCAGATTTAAGTAAAATAACACCTGGTTGGACATTTTAGCATCAGGCCTAAGAAAAAACAGGCATTTGCCCAAAAATCCTAACCCTGGTTACAATAACATTATAATTTTTCATTATTTTTTAATTTTCTACATTGCATTAGACTAGAAATAATTCGGAACCATTGGAATTCTGAAACAGACAGCCGGCAATACAAAAAAGGCCGTCACTTTATTAATTAAAAATATATCGACAATTATTAAATCTGGAATGGATAGTTGTCCGGAATTGTCGTAATAAACTAAACGTTTCAGACAACCTATAAAAATTTTGTCATTTGAGATTTTCAAAATTATTTTATAATTTTCTCTATTTAATCCTACAAGTATCCCTAAAAGGGTTTTTATAACAAACTAAATAAATTGTTTTTATTTTTGATGAATTGCGAGCAATTAAATAACGAATCTATATACAAAATTATTGGAAAAAGAGCGAGAAAGAATAAAAAAATTGGAGAGGATGAGTAGTTTTAGGGGGGGGAAGGAAGGGGGGGGAGGGGGGAATTTCACGAGCAAATGAACAGTCACAACAATTTTTGGCTGCGCATTTCGTCACTTTTCTAATCGTTTACTTGACCTTAAAAATTATTTTGTTTGTGTCTATATTTTACTGATTTCCTTAAAATTTAGAAAATAAATTAAAAATGTTTAAGGATATTTTCCCAACATTAGGATTTTGTCCTTTTCATGCAGCTCTCTATATTTTTAATGCTTTCCTAACATTTCGGTTTATTAAATTTTTGTATATACTTTGTCGAAGTGTTTGGGGACACTTTATTGCAAGGCCTTTAAATTTGGACCATTACAGGCAGGCATGGACAGGTAGACGAATTCTATTATGAAATATACCTAAGTAGAGTTTGGAATGGAAAATATTCAAATATTTGGATCTGAACTGACGAACTGAACCGATAAATCATTGGTTCTTCGGCCGGTTATCACAGTACCTATAGTATTTAATTATCATACCATTAACATAGAAAGGCACATTATGTGGGGATTACCATATTGTTTAATTTCGCACACTTCGAATTTGTGATCACCTTAATTAATCACCTTAATCACCTTCCTTTGGTGACCCACCCCTATAAATTATTGTAAAAATTTCCCAAGGGAAAAAACTTGTAAATATTTTAATTTTGTGAAAGAAATTTGAAGTTTTACTTGGAATCAGAGCGAGAGTTCATTTATATAATCTCTCAAAATGTACAAAAATTATTTAGTATTTACTGGATGCACAGATGGCATAGGGCGCGCATACTTGGAAGAACTTGTCTCTACTAAAAATATTAAAAATCTTTATTTAATTGGGAGAAATAAAACGAAACTAGCTGCCTTAACCAAACATTTTGGTATATTCTTTAGTCAGACTTCTTTAATGAATAATTCATGTAGAGGGAGAATATGGTTGCCAGGTTCGAACAGCCGTTTTTGATTTTGAAAAGGATCCGTTGGAGGATTTGCCTGCCGAGTTGAAAAGAATGAATGTTGGAATTCTCGGTTAATAATTGAGGCGGAACTCACTTTAAGATACATCTATAGGGATAGAAAACCTCATAAGGAAATCTTGAATTGATCGTATCTCTTTGCCAGACCCTTCACCCAGCAGGGATGTCAAGGGTTGAGAAATAATTCGGATTTAAGTCGGAAAAAGAATTTGGGTGGCTTCGGGTAGCCCGTGCTAAACCTGCCACTCAGTACCAATTAAAAAAACGATTTTCAATTGAGGTATGTCTAAAATTTTAAAGTGAGGTCCGACTACTCTATTTAATTTTATCTAAAAATATTTTTAAAAGTTAATAGTGTTGGTATTGCACCAGAACAGGTTGATACTGTAGTAGATCAGCCCGAAGGTTTATCCTCGAAAATTTTGAAAGTTAACTTGCTCTCCATTGTCAAAATGATTGAATTAATTTTGCCTGGAATGGTTGAACGTGATTGTGGGATTATAGTTAATATATCTTCTATAATGGTTAAATAATCTGTATTTCAATAAACCTTGAACTATTATAGGGTTGGAGACCATTTCCATACCTTTCGACTTATCCTGCAAGGTAGTTTAAATAATCCGCGTAGATTTAAACCTTCAAGGTTAACTTGGATTTCTCTTAATGAAAACTAGTGGTGCCAAAATAGACCGACTTGGAACGAAAGATCGAGTCGTGCATTTTATTAGGCCCGAAAATGACTCGTACAGGCCTGACTAGATAACATACAAGCCTCGACCGTCGGCTTGTTTCCGTCTGCTCGACTCGAAAACAACAACCCTATTGAGAACGCTTAACTTGAGGGAGCTTCATAATTAGGAAATGATAAAAAAATGGTTAGGAAATGATGAAAAAAATGGGAAAAAAGTTAAAGTTTTGGATGTTTGTGGATGGTTCTTAGATTGTAGTTTGTCCATATATCCATTTTAGAACGGAAAACTATGATCATCGAGTGGTTAACCTACAAAGACATTTACTTAAAATAAGCTAAATCACTTTGCCTTTTTTGAAAAAAATTTCTTTCAAGTAAAGCAGCAATAAGTTTCTTCTCTGATGCACTGGCTGATGAATTTAAACACACAAATATCAAAATTCAATGTTTAATCCCTTCATTAGTTTCAACAAAATTAGCTTCTTATGAACCTGGAGATACTGAACTTTTTGTTGTTGATACTAATGTTTTTGCAAAACAAGCAGTTAATATTATAGGAAAATGCAGGCTTAGTACAGGCTGCTTTCAACATGATTTACAGGTGTTTTTATTAATTAAGAGAGTGGTAATCTAGATTTTGACTTGTAATTTTGTTATGGAAAAGTTTTCAGAGCATTACCTCTAAGATAGTTGGATTATAATAAATCGCCCTGGCTTTCACCTAAGTCGTGGCGCTTTTCGGCCCTTAGGTCAAGTCCTATCTTCTATTATACTTATCTGAGAACTCTAGCCAGGTTAACATCAAAAATTTCGGTATTTTCTCAGAAAACGGAGAATTTTCCTTTTATTTTGACTTATAAGACATTAAATTTTCGTCTTGACTTCTGGATTCTTATCGTACCGCAAAAATTACTCAGACAAATGCCCGTCCAGTCTATATTGTGCAAAGCGATTTTTTTAGAAGCCGAGGCTCAACTTCTGAAATCGAAAATTACTCAAATGGGACCTCAGAAATTGTAAATCAGCTTAAATTTTCGGAAATTTTTAAAAATTTCTTCTCTATTAAAATTTTAAAAATCTATTTTTAGATAGCATTTGGCAACTTGCTAGGTTTTTGGCTTTTTAAGAAAATTTATGTTCCCTTTGGAATGCTCGGTCACCATCGCAAACGGATGGATGCTTATAGAAAAAAACATGAAAATGGTAAAGCTATAATGAATAATTGTGATGAAATTAACGGAAAATAAATAAAGATACCCGAGCAATTAATTTTAAAGAAAATTAATTCTAAAAAGCATAATTTATATATAATTACTAATAATATTTTATTGTCAAAAATTATAGAACGATGATTTTTTAAATAAATGAAATTTGATTAAAGTTGTCTTATTCTAAATATTTTTGAGCTAATAATACTGTAGAAAGACGGGATTTTTATTTGCTCAAATATTTATGTTGTGTTAAGCTAAGCTCCATCGATAAAAATTTTAATAAAATTGACTATATTTATACTTTTATGTAGATAAATATCAGCAATAACTTTATAACGAAGAAACATTTGCATAGGAATAATAATAATTGACTCCCAGATAATAGAACACGATGGATTATAGTATACATGTAGCACGCCTGCGGCGCTAAAAATCGAAAGCGTTTTTAAAGTTTTATCAAATTTCCTATAAATAGTTCAAAATTATAGGTCCTATTGACTTAGGTACGAAAAATAAACCAAAAATTTGCCCTGTAGGACCAAAAAATTGTCTTGAATCTTATAATATTTTGGTCTTGGTGATCGTTTGGGGTATTAGGAAAAAATCCGAAGTCTTGTTAAATCCTGGTCTTGGGTCTTGCAAAAATTTTGGTCTTATTGTTAGATATCTCTAATAAATGGATTTAACTGATTCAATAATTAAAAAATTCTCAATCACTCCACGTCAACTTCTTCCAAATTAACTTCAAAATCATTATCATCTTCTTCGATTATTTTAATAAACTCTTCTTCCTCAATCTCAATTTTATGTGTTAATTTACATAATTTAATATCTTCCAAATAATTAATTTCAATAATTACAAACTTCTTTCCATTATTATTTCTTAATATTATTTTTCTAAATTTTATCACATTCTTATCGAAATAAAATTTGTTTGCGTTGAAATTAAGATTATATTTTTCGATTCGATGTTTAGTAAAATATATCTTTTCCTTTTTATATTGCGTCATCCGTTTTAATTCTACTTTAGACAAAATTACTGGTTTTCCATTTAAATAAACATCAAACATTTTTACTGAAAATAGTCGACAGAATAATATATTCTGACTTCGAGAGTTTTCGGGAAAATTTTAAATTACTCCGAAAAGTTTAATTTTTTGCTAGTGTTACTTTTTCTAACCACTTTAAATACCTATTAGGGTTGCCAAAATTGACAGACTTGTACCGAAGGATCGAGTCGGGCCTAAAATATTTGGCCCGAAAAGGTTTCGTAATAAGTTTTATGCCCAACCATTTTACCCTTTGTCAAAGAAAAATGCTGGGTAAGAAATTTAATTTTATCGAAATAAGGAATTTAGTTACCCGCAGTGTTAAAAAAAGTAGAAAAATATTACCTGAATTTCTTGTGAAGCTTTTATTCTCTATTTTATTAAAATTTGTTTTAATTGTTTTCAATTTTATGCCATTTCTTTTGTTCGCGCTTTTCTTGTTCTTTTATTTAAATAAAATATAATAAAGAGTTACCTCAATAATATGACACCATAAGGGACTATATTTGCCCGGCGTCAAGAATGCATCATTATTGGGAATTATAATTGGGAATCGAGACCCCACTTTTTTAGTCTTATAAAAATCATAAAAATAGTTACTATTTAGGGGTAAATTAAAAAATTGTTTCTAGTGCTTCTAGCTAAATACTAGTAAAAACATATTAAATATACATACTTTGATCATTAACTGAAATTTTTTAGATTTATTAAATTAATTTTTAGCAAAAACATACAATTAGTTTCGTTTCATTTAGTTCAAATGCTTTAGATAATTCAGTAATATCATCGTTAGTATATGGGAGACCATAAACAAATTTTTGTAATTTAATTTCCTAAAATTATCTTTCCATTTAAAAAATATTTATAATAATTAAAAACAAACATATTTTGTCAATTCAATTAGCTCTCCACCTTTCAAAAAGTTTATTTAAAATATATGGATCTAAATTAAATTTTTGTGTAATAAGTTTATCATTAAAGGGTATAATCCAGGCATCATCAACAACAGTCCCTTGGACAAAAATATTACTAGATTCTCGATCTTGGAATTTATTATTGCTGAAAAGGAGGATTCTGGTTTCCTAAAAACTCTGTAAATCAAAAAATCTTATACTGGGGAGTTAAAAACTAGGTAATGAAGGATATCGAAGGATTGAATGATTTCAGGAGTTATCGAGGAATTGTATGAATTAAGAGGATATTGAATGGGTATATGACATCCCTGTTCAGACGAGTTAGACTTTTAATGACGATCATTATTTTTGAAAAAAATTTTTTGGAATTAGAAAAAAATATTCGTCGTATTTTTTTGGCTTCTTAGACATAAAATCCAAAAAAATATGTACGTTATTGACTCTATTCCCAAATTTAGAACTAAAATTACCTTCCAATTTTATTTTTTCCTTTAAATTTTCAATTTGTTTTTTAATTTCCATTTTTTCGTCTTCATTATCCTTTATTTTAATATAACTTTCCAATAATTCAATTTTATATGCATTTAAATTAATTAAAGTCCAATAATTTTTTCCCAATTCTTCTTTGTAAATTTTTATTTTTTCATTTAGTGATACTCTTTTTATGTAATTTATATGCCATTTATCTTCTAAAGCACTGATTTCAGGTGCTGATTTAGTTAACTTTCTTTCAATTATCTTAAATTGTTTTTTAAAATTACAGTAATTTCTAACTTCACTCTCTAGAGTTTTCTAAATGGATGCAAAATGTTCAAAAAATGGTCTTCTTATACATTAAATCGGGGGATATCAGCGGATTTGTAGGATTAAGGAGGAATCAGAAGAGTTGGGCGGATATTGTGAATTTGAAGGAGGGAAAAAGGGAAAATTTGACTTTTGTTTCTATTTTTTGATCTTTAGAATTTTAAATTCGTTGGCTTGCATAAAGTTGGTGAATACTGGGAAATCCTTTGAATAGCCTGTTTATTAGGCAATAAAACCCAAAAGTTAGATTTTTATAAACATATTTGTTTAAAAATTAAAGCAATATTCGAGTATACTTATTACTTGCTTTAGTATTGGACTAATTAATTCATCCACAATGTTATTTTTAGTAATTTCTATTTCTGGTGAATATTTAAAATCTTTTCTAAATACAGAATAATAATTTATATTATATTCCGTTTTTAAATATTTTCCAATTAAATTTTTAAAATAAAAACGTTCTTCTGGCTTTTTATTTTTTAAATAATTATATTCTCTTTTTTCTAACCAATCTGGATTAATTTTTACGTTGATGTTTTCATCGTTTGCCAAAATGTTAAAATTATCCAAATAAATTAAAAATAAAATAAAAAATATATAAATAATATTCATTTTTATTTAAATTACTTGTGCTGAAAAAATTATCTAGTAATAAGTTATTCATATATTACCATCAGTGGGCATTTAAATTTAAATAAGTAACCTAAAATATGGTCTAACAGACGTGTTTTATAATCTCGGACCTTAATATAACATACAAATTGGTGGCTGAAAAATTGAAAATTGTATTAAGGAACATAGCTATAAGATAGGATACATGCTGTATTGCCCCTTCTATCTACTAAAGTTCCTACACCTTGTGGT